TCAGGAGAGATACTTCAGACTACTTTCCAAACAGATACAATAGAAGTTCTCCACAGAGAGATCTCAGGAGCTTTTATAAAAGAAGAGCTTGAGTGCTTCCACAGTTGCTAAGCAATCCCTTATCTCTCTCTAGAACTCACATTTAAAACATCACAGGAACTTTTAGAGCTGGTCATTTACTAGTCTGTCATTACCTCCAGCAGAGTTGCTCTGCTGAATAACATGAACTGAAAGCTTCTATAAATTACGTGACAAGTGAAAGCAGGCAGATTTTCATTTCATATACACTGTATATAAGGGTATACCTACTTAAACCTATGCTTAAACGCGATCATTTTCTTGCATACAACTTCTGATTCTGTGGGGTTTTTCATTTATTTTTTTGAAGAGCAGAAGTAAAAAAATATTAAACCTCCTACAAGGAAGTTAAATGATTCTCCCTGTCTTACAGAGTAAGAATCCCAATACCTTCAGCAGTTGGGTTTTTTTTTCTTTTGAAGAGTGGCAAAAGGACAATCTCACACTAGCTCCTTAAATTCTTTCTGGAACTGGCTTCCAACCTCAAAAGCACATTCCAGATAGACTTATTTTACCTTTCTCAACAGAAATTCTGTTTTTACTATCACAGAACCCAAATGCAAATTTCATAGCCCCTGTTCACCTTCTGTTTAGGAAGGGAGTCTCAAAACAATCTCTACTCTTCTACTGTTATCAAATCTGACTGTATTTGGTTCCCACCTTTGACCTCATCAGCCACTCAGAAATCCCTGTCTGAACACTTTCCGGCTGGTCTCCATGCATGCAGATGACATCATTTCCTGTTAAGTACACCACAAAATGCGACTCCTTATCATCCCCGATTAGTCAGACAGCTTCGTGCACAACCCACAAAACAAGCAAAAACCAGCTATAAGTAATACTGTAGCTCCTTAGTTGTTAATAATACCCTGCTTCCTACTCCTTATATATGCTAGCTGTGGTAGCTGGATTTATTTACCCACGCTGAGGCTTAAAAATACTTATTTCCTTTGTCATTGTTTGTTTAAGGATTGCTGCTATGTGCAGTTCACAAATGCCAAAGCTCCATGTCAAGGGTTACTTATCTTGCTTCTGACTTGCCCCCAGGCACTAAAATTGGCTCCTGATGCTCTCAGAGGGAGAAGCTTCCAAAAAAGTGAAGTCACTCCTTAAGTGACCATGTGCCACAATACAATATTTCTGAAACATCTAGACAGATTCTATATAATTTTTATACGCATTAAGACTTTGCAGCCCAATAAAAAGGAAGTAAACTGATATTTTTAATCAAATAAAACACCATGGAGGTAAAAACAACACAACATAACTAACTTTCACAGCAGCATGCAGAAAATGAGCACTGTTTTTTCTTACTTGTATTTAGATTAACATAAAGCATAAAACCTTTTCAGAACTTGCTTTCTAAATTAGACAAACGTATAAAATCACTGGTGGAGTTGGCACAGGGTGTCTTATTGACCCCTTCCCCTGTTCCTTGTCTCAGAGAGAATCACATATAGAATATATGTGTATAGAGTATATATAGAATATATATAATTCTCTCTCAGAATACATACATATATATATATATATATATATATATATACACATACATATATATATGTATACATACATACAGAATATCCCACGTTGGAAGAAAACCCCCAGGATCACAAGTGTACAACTTCTTATATTGTGGTACCCAACCCTGCATGCAGTGCTTGAGGTGAAGATACACCAGTGAAGCGCAGAGCGGGACAACTCCTTCCCTAACCTGATACAGCCCAGGGCACACTGCTGGCTCACATTCAACTTGCCATCAACCAGAAGCCCCAGATTCTTTCCTGTGGGGTTGGACTTCAGCTTTTCGTCCTCTCATCTGCACGTACAGCCAGGGTCACCCCCTTATCAGGTGCAGAATCTGGCACTTGTTCTTGTTGCACTTCACGTGGCTGGTGATTACCCAGCACTTCAGTTTGTCAAGATCTCTCTGCAAGGCCTCTTCACTTGCAAAGGCATCAATACTCCACCTAATTCAGTATGCACTTGAGTCCTGCATCCAGAACATTTATAAGAACATCAAAGAAAACTTGCTCTATAATGGAGCTCTGGGGAACTCCCCTAGTGGCTGGTCACCAGCCTGATGTAAGCTCAATTACCATATATAACCCTTTGGGCCAGCTGTTTACCCATAGCATAATGCAGTTGTCTAGCTGTATGCTAGATATTTTGTCCAGAATGGTGCTGTATGAAACAGTTTTGAACACATTGTGGCACTGCTCTGGAAGAGATGATGCTTCAGAATGTCTCTTACACTCAGCAAAGGCCGCAAAACCCTGGATAGTCTTTTGCTCCCACTGATTTCCATGCTTTTCTGATGTAAGAAGTTAGAAGAATTGATTCTTTTACCCTTCCCCTGTTCCATCAGCCCAGAAACCTACTATTTTGAAGTTATTTAAAAACCTGATGGATTGCCTTTATATGAAACTCCAACGCTTTGATTACCAGTCCCATTTCAATGAAGTAAAACTTCAAAGTGCAAAGCACACAGAGAAAAAAGTATACTGAGTTCTTTGGGGTAAAAAGTTAGCAACATTGTACTACTGAAATGGAATTCTTTGATATTTCATTCTTGTTTCAAAATCAGCATTCTACATTAAAGGTTAACAGAACACACAACATACTAAACAACTAAACAAATCCTTTCTGTATATTCATAAATATTTCACCCTGTTTCCTTCCCAGCTTCTCAGCAAAGCATTGTAGGGACAGCATATTCCAGATTTCTAGCTATGTCTTCATATGTTAAATGATAAATACAGAGTTACGGACAAATGATGAAGAACAAACCAAAACAAAACATTGCCACTTCAGCTACCAGCCAGAAGATACAGCTACACTTAGTCAATTTTCTGCTGAACAGTTTCAGACACCCTCCTCTGACTATCATACTCGTTTTCTAACCACTCTGTGAATATGTTTTTTGGTTTCATAATGCTCTGACGCCTAAACTGTGAGCTACTCCGAAGAACAAATTGTTGCCTGATGTTTTCAAATCTGTTCAGGTTTTCTTATTGTTATTACAATGGTTAAAGAGCCAAAATGCCAAATGATAAGGAAGATTTACTTCCAGTGAGGGAAGTTACTATTCCAGGGTGAAAAACATTCCATACTGTGAACTCAGATACGAAGCTAATCAATTTCTCAGTACTAGGGGTATGCAAAACACAACAGGTCATAAAAATTCCTGTTTTCAGAGCTTCAACAAAAGGGGGAAACTTCTGGCAGATTCTGCAAGAGTTTGAAATCCACCATGACATGCAAATTTCTTCATATTTTGCAGAGGAAAGGCAAGAATAAAGAACACTCCAAACTTCATCCAAGCTACCTCTTCCTTTTGAATGTTTTTAACTTCACTGATGTAGGAGCTGTGAAAAAATCAGAATTTCTTTTGGGAAGAGACTCTTGCTCTGTGTTGATACCAGCAGATATGAATAGCTGTGAGCTGAATTGATAGCTGTTTTCAGAATGGGTGGAATTGAGGATGGTGCTATTAATTCTCTTTTCACCAGAAAAGAGGTAACAATTAGCACAAAAGAAACATGAGAAATCCTTCATATAAGAAAGGCTGTAAAATGTCTTGTAAGGAAAAGCTAGCCTACGCAACTTCTCACAGAGAGCTAAGATCAACAATTCTGTCTTGATTCACAGCTCTCTGACATCACCAGCCATTTAAATTCCAGTAACAGAAAGTAAAATGTCAATACTTTGATGTCGTCACTGAATATGGCTTCCTCTCTTGATGTGAATTTACCCAAAGTATGCAGAACATGAGACTCATGCCTACCATCTTCTATGTTCTTCATTTTTCCTTTCTCCCTTGACAGCTGGCGTATACAATTATTCTAATTTCATCTGTTAATGAAGCAAACTCTAAAAGTAGGGGGTTGGTAGGTATAAATAGTATAAAGGTATTTAAGTTCAGCCTTGATCTTAACGGGGTCCCTCAGGAGGAGGCCTTAAGGTTTCCTCACATTTCCCCTATTTCCTCTTTCCTCTTTCTTAAGACTAGCCATGCCCATGATGGCTCTGCACCTCCTAGTCAGCTTGGGAGCACAACCAAGTGAAAAGACCTGAAAGACGAAGGCTAACTGAATGCGATTCGTGTGAAGTTTTAGATTAGATGGTTTATTAGGAACATTTATTTTATAATTAAACTCCATTTTTTGTTGTAAAGGGACACCTGTGTGCAGCTCAAGAATCAAAATCTCCCATTATGCTGGTGCTGCCACACCACACATTAATTTCTTTTTTAAATCCTGGCAGTTTTGATTTTAAATGAATCAGTCAGAGATTTGGTGAAAGCAGCATGAAACATTAGCATTTGAATGCTATTCTTCAATTCATTTTGGTATCAGTAAGTGCTGCAGCAGAAACAAAACTAAGGGAGGAAGTTAGAAAGGTAAATCATAGGAAAAACATATGCCTGATATACTGCTTCTTCTGAAGCCCCAAAATGGAAGCATGGATTGGTATCACAGTGTTAACTCAGCAGGCTTATATTCATTGCTGTGCTGTCTCTACTTGGTTCTGTGGGAAAGGCAATGGGATGGAGGTGCAAGGAGACAAGAATGTATTCCCAATCTTAAGACCAGTATGATATCAACCTCAGCAGTCATGATAGCAGTTTGATATGGAGTGCAAACTCCACAAGAGCTGTAATCACAGGAGTAACTGAAATGGAGATGCTCTGTCAGCCTCTTCCTCCTGTTTCTCCCTGGACAACAATTGTTATTGCTGGGCAAACTGTGCTTACTACGTACAGCAGTAAGTATCTCTGGCATATGATACATTTGTGCTTTTTGATATTCTCAAAACATATAGCAGGAGCAGAGATGTGGTTTGCAAATCATCGGCAGGGGTCTACACATCTTTTGTGCTGACAGATATTGGACCAAAAGAATTCAATCTTGTTCACTTACCCCTATTAACATATTTCCTGGATTTTCTACAGATGCCTCTGCTTCTGTATCCAACACATTCTGCTTTGCTTCAAGCTTGAACACTGAAAAAAATGCTCTGTAGCTCTCTGCATATTCCAAAGGCATGCTCTTTAATCTGCAGAAAAAACAAACGAACAATACAGTTCATTTTTTCCTAGGACCATTCCCAGAAATCTAGAATGAATACCTGAAGAACACATACTGATTCCTCATTACTGTAACCCTCTACACCTATCACGGATGTCAACATGTTGATGCTGTCAGTATTGATAAATAAATTACACGTCATTCCTCTCCGATGGTCTGCACTGTAAAGGGGAACAATGTTAGGCAACACTCCAAACATATACTGAGACAACTGAAACCCTAAGAACCAAAACTGGCAGTGGGACTGGAAGGAAGTGCACTTTATCCCTCTGGTTACACACTATCCTAACCCATTCAGCTCTACCAAAGGTTCCTTTCATAGTAGCAAAGGAAAAGCAAAACAGCACCTGTCATCTTCTGTCTGAACTTACATTTTAGTCATGGAAATCAGAACTTTTATCCTATTCTACACCAATGATATAGAATATTTTATGTACAGAATATTCTATTCTATACCATATGCCCTGCCAGTAGCATGGCAAAAACTTGGTTTGGTTTCCTCATGGACTCCTAGCTGAGCCCAGAGAAGCATCTCACTCCCACATTCAGTCATAACTTGAAAAAGATATGCCAAAGAGGCTGTTCAAAATGTTCACTAGCCAAGGCAGGAAAAACAAAAACATGAACAGTAAGCCATTTCCCATTCCTTTCCATGGAGGCTACTTCCAAACCTTATACTCAAGCCTAAAACAAGTCAATTCAGAGGGCAGAATAACAAATCCCCTTGTCTGCCCTTCCTGCCCGGGAAGCTGTGAGGGAAGGGAACACCCTTCTTCTGATAAACACAGACCTGGCTTCCACTCTGAGCTCACACAGATTTGATAGGCCGACTGAAGAATGGGAATTCCTCACTCGCAGAACACCTTTAACTTGGCTGTGAGATTACACAGAGCATACATAAGACAACACTGGCTGTAAAGCCCCCAGCTCAGAACCTGAGCAGGAGAACAAATTCCAATACCTAGGATTTTTTGAATAATTGCTCAGCTATGTAGACACAGTATCCTTACAGGCAAATCACTGCAGACAGAGGAGAAATAGAGGAGCCAGCACAGTTCTTTCCTGAACTCAGAACTAGAGATGTTTCCTCTAGAAAAAAGAACTCTCACATCACTGGATTTTTGAAAGGAATTCACATGATAAAGCTACAGCAATGAAGACAAATATAATTCATATAAAATTAGGAAAAATGAGTTAAATAATCTAAGAACTTCTACCAAAGCAAAAGCTAGACCAAAAATAGATTTTTCCAGGCCAGAAAAAAAAACAAAAACCTGTGTAGAATCAGTGGTGACACATGAAGCAGCTTAATTTAATCCAGTACGTGCAGATCATAATGCTTTGCACTTGCACACAAGGATGAAATAACATTTTGAAAATTCAGTTTGAAAACACTTCAGTACAACATGTTGTAAACTGGATGCTTCTTTTTTTATTTTAAATCCACTTCTCCAAACTCTAAAAGGGGCTCAAGAAATCTACTTTTCCAGTCCTTGTTTCATATGACCAACATGGCACATTAAGTATAGTTCATCTGAAAATAACACAGGATAAGTGGGAGAACTGTGTAATTCCAAGATAAGGTGAAAGAGTTCATTTATGCTGTGAAGAAATTCCAAAATCAGTACCATGTTTACTTAAAAACATATCTCAGTATACGACCAAAATCAAACTACGAATAATCAAAAAGTAGTCCATGCAAAAGGCCTGGAAAATAACTCAAGTTCTACAGCCAAACAATAGAACTGTCTCCAGAATTTCGGGTTCAAGCCTCTAGTGTATGCACCTCCTTCCACCTCCTGTAAAGAGATCGCACTTGTCACCTCCCTACTGATTGGATTTAGAAGCAGAGCAGATCAGTGATTATTCCAGTAGTTACTGACACACCTTCAGAAAAACCTGTCCTCGGATGAACAATTTCTCCCAGTTAAAAACAACAGTATAAAGGAATATGGCACAAAAAAAGTTTAGTATCGTGTATAATTTTTCACTGCGTGGTTTTGCCCAAGGGTTTTCACTTGGCATTCTTTGTCTCAGACAGTCAGAATACATCTTACTTCCTCTATGAGTGTCAGTAAGTGGAGGAAGTGGCACAGCGAGTGATTTCTGAAAGCCTTGCCCCTTTACACCATAGCACTGATATGGTTGGAATTGGACCCTCCTGACAGGATTTAGAGTTCTCTGAGGATTTTGTGCTGATTATGTTTGAAAACATATTGTAATTTATCTAAGCAGCAGAATTACTTTTGTTCCATCTATGCATGCCTCGTCACTCTTAGGGGGGTAGCTCAATTTCTAGTCAAGCAACACTGCTGCCTCTTTCAGTAATTACTCTGCTATCATCCTGCCTCCAGTGGGTAACCTCAGACCACTATTATCTATTCCCTCCTCGTTACATTTTTCCTCTGCCATTGCTTTGAGAAGTACTCCACAACCACCACAGGCTGAGAAAAGCACATCCTAAATCAGAACTCCCTACTGGCAATTTCTGAAGATGTTGCTTTGCTTAGAGCAATACACACCAATGGGCTATGCTCAAAACCAAACCCTGACAACTGACAATGGAGAGAACAGGACATCTCGTTACCTTATTTTCCCTTAATGTGAGCTACATGAGAACTTCAGGAAATGGCCTAATGGCTAGAAGAATAATCCACAAAGTGTTTTGTCTGAAAGCAGATACCGATTCTATGCTGAACTTCTACCAAAATATTCCCAAGCTCACAAGTGCATTGGATATATGAAATGCATGCAGCCCAGACTGCCAACTTGTTCTTGTCTCGCTCGAGACAACGCACTGAGGATATTATGGGGCTGAGCTAACACTACATTTGGCACAGTTTGCTCTGTGTGCTTAATGCTGCCATCAAGAACTTCACCTTTCCAGCATGAGAGAAAAGTGCCTCTTCAAACTGCCACTTCTCAAGGCAAGAAGTATGAAGCGTACAATAGCAATCAGGATTCCAATTCCTATTGCCATAACTTTGAGAGGTTGTTTTCTTTGTTTGTTTTATTATATAAGACCAAGGGAAGAACTGGAAACAGGCATAGCTGTTCTGAATACAGAGGAAGGATCTGAGACCAGGGTACAGTGGCAGGAGATGCCAGTGGGATGGGACAGCCTTCTGTTCAGGTCATCAGACATTTTCTATACAACTAATTATTTGTTAAGAATGCCATTTTCCACTATGACTCTGCTGACCTTCAATCAGTAATAAAATGTTTCACTTGCGTTCAGAGACCTGACCTCGGCCTTACATGGAATTTAGGAGCTCACAAAGAATGCAGTAAAGCTCTTGTCCCTTCTCTGAGGCAAATATTCTTTAAGGAGAATAATGTTAGAGATCCTTTGAGAAATGCAGGAATTTCAAGATCAAGCTACAGACTGGTTTCTAAGGGAAAATTAAGTTCTGCTGTCCAGATTTTTTTTTTTTCTAAAGTGTATTTTTCACCATATAGATAAACTAAGCATTGAAAATACTAAGGTGAAGAGCAAATTTTTTTTCATGGATCCAGTATAATGAACTTTCAGAAACTAAGTTTTAACACTACAAATAAGATGATTTTGAATACTGCCGGGTTAATCTGTTTCTAGGAAGCAGATTCTAGGCTTCCTATCCACCTGATACAACACGTTGCTCCTGCATGCAGAAACACACAGCAGCAAGATTGTGGGACTGGTCACTCCCAAGACTTCCCAAGGAAACTTCTGACCATGGGATTCATTTCTGCTAAAAAACTGGGTCATAGGCAGATTTGACTTCTACAGCTCCCCTCTGGCAGAGGTAGTGGCTATCAGAAAGCTGTCCGAATGCAGGAGCTGCTGCAGGCCTTGGGCTCATCACAATGAAATGGCAGTTGGACAAGTTCTGGCTGCATCCAGGCGTACAAATCCCAGTTCACTTGCTGCAACAAGACCACAGCAGTCCAAGCTGTGTAAGATGTATACTCTGACAAAAGTTACAGCAGCCTAATTTCACCCAGACTCCGAGAGAGTTTTAACTAAAAAAAGCCCATTTTTTTGGTTTTCCCACTTATCAGAGAGCTTTTGCAATGAAGTAACCTCTCAGAGCTGAATTCATTGGTGTATTCCTATCATGAGTCTAAGTATTCCTATTTACTTAGAAGAACAACAGCCTTTCATTCACTGACAGAAGCAGGGTGATGTAAGGCAGTCTGAATTAATATTTTCAGAATGCTATTTCAAAACAGGGTGTTTTTGGACTGGACTTTCTTAAGCAGACTGAAGGTACAAACACTGAAACTTTGGTTGCCAGATGAAAACTTCCGTATCAAACCAGGACAAAAGTGAAGGTTTGTGAGGAAAACATCTGCCTAAAGCCTCCCATTTCTGCTCTGTTTCAGAACCAGCATTTCAAAATGAAGATCTTAGCACTTGTCAGCTTCCTCATAAGAGACATTGCCATGCTTTTTGCCACCTTCCAATGATTGATATATAACAAAAATGCAGCATGCATTACAGGTTTTTTGGAAGGTGTATTCATTTTGCTGAGGTGCTTTGAGACATTTCATACATGGAATTCTCTAAAGCTTCAAGTTGCTTTGGAGATGGGAGAAAAAATTTCACCTCTTCACGCAGCCATCCTTCCTTGAGGCAGGTACCGGATAGAGAAAGGCTCCTCAAACACTGGCTGGAAGAAATAAAGTCCAGGTTTTCTAGCACTGCAGACTAATTGTTTTGGTTCTGACTGCCTCCTGCTAAGGAGGTACAGGCTTTTACTTCTCTGGCTTATACTTAGGAGGCCCCACTCACACAGGAAAGTAAAGCAGAGGCTTGATAAGATTTGATTTCAAGGCTGTTTCAGAACAAACACTTTTTAAAGAATGAGAGCCAGTGCACAAAGCTATTTAATACTGAATGCAGGAATGGTTTTTGTCTCCTCTAGTCACACTTTTAGTGAAGGCACTCCAGGCAAGAGGGGCAGTGCAAACTAGAGGAGCCTAAATAGTCTAAATCAATGTTTGGGGAGCTCTGTAAACAGAGGGCATGTGGAAATGCTCTCCCCTGTTAGTTTCAAATAACACTAAATATTTATTCTCAATGCCCAAAGAACTGAAAAAGCTTAAACGAGCACATCAGCATCAGGCAGAGAGCTCTGGAACACTATTATCCCAGAAGGAAGCAGACAAATACACAAAAAATGTATACTGTACCTAGACTAGGAAGGGGCCAATAAAGAAAAGTGACTTTCCAAAGCTTCTGACACTACCTCCTACTGTAATTGTAAGAGATTTTTAAAGTCTAAAAATCTGTGCAAGAACATCAATGCACTTTGGAATGGACACTGGTGTTTGGAGGTCAGCTCTTGCACATACTTCTCATCAGAAACCTGCGTCCTTCAGTCAACCTGGTCTCACCAGTGAAACTTGAAGTCTCGCCCTATTCTACAAAGAGGAGGATGTGGAACTGCAATTCCCATTGCCCACTGCAAAGTGCCTAAGCACAGCAAAGCTTGGCTGGCTGCAAGTAAGGGAACACATTAAGCTTTCAGCCTCTAAGCAGTACAACCCTTAAAGGAAGCAGGCAGAACACCATATCTATGGTATGAATGCTTTCTTTCCATCATTCTGAAATTGTTAGTGCATACACTCAGACACACAGTACCAGGTGTCACCATAGTTAATCCTAATAAAATTGTCAAATAGATTATCAGCATGAAATTTACTCCATGTAGTTAAACTGTCTCTTCCTACTTCTTCCTTACAAAAGGCACATTCCAGTGTCTACTGAAACCTGCAGGAGACTTTGCACTGGCTTTAAAGGCTTCTTCAATATTCTTCAAAGCTTCTCAGGAATTTCTCAACAGAGATGACAGGTGAGATTAAACTTCAAATTAAATTATTAGAAAACTTACTGCTGGGAAATGTCAAGAATAGAGATATTTGTTTGGAGTCAGTTTGGGCCAGAAAACATTTCTCAAAAGAGAAGAGAGTTGAAGAGAAAGTGCATGGACAAGATTTGGCATTGATTTAGGGGCACTTCTGCTCTCAGTGCTTTCTGTTCCCTCCTCAAAAATGTAAATTAACATATCAAATTCAGGGTGACATTTCTGATAAAGATCAGTTTAAATATAATACCAGAGGTCTTTCAACTGAACAACACAGAGTGAAAATGTCATTTTTACCTGCAAAAACTGCCAGTGCAAGCTGCTGCTGAATCCAGATCAGCCACTATTTGGCATGAACTCACCAGTGCATTTAATTCTTTCATTCACAGAAAACTTAAACTGATTTGGACTATAGCAGTGTGGTGGATCACATTGTTGCAGTGGTATAATAATGAGAAGGCATTAGATCAGAACAGAAATTGCCCTCCATGACAGGCTCTTGCTGAATGCACAAGGCACATATTTCAAGTACAGTTAACACACATTACTAAAATGCTGTAAGGTAAACTATTTTCTTCCACAAAAGGTCTATCTTTCTACATTTTCTATATGGTAACAGAAGAACGTAATAAGATGTCCCAACATCTTCTGTGCTTCCTCTATCAGATAATCTCTACCTTTCGCCCTCTGAAAACCACTCCCTTTTCATTATGAAACTAATGCATTAATTAATGAGACAGCTGCCTCAGTAGGAGTCCGCAAAATGCACTGACCTATTCCTTCCTCAACCAGATCAACACCTCGTAAGAAGCTGGAGAACTTCTAGTAGCCATAGGCAGTCTGTCACAGCTTGTTATATGCTGGTACAGGGACCACAGTCAAAGAGCAATCAGCTCCTTTCCATTAGAATTCCTGCTATGGGACAAACCTCGCACTGCTCTCTCCTGTGGGATGCTTATATCATGGAGGACAACACAGGTCAGTGTCTCTCCAGCTGTTGTGCCAAGCAAGCAAGAAATTGCTCTGGCCTAGAAGTAACATAAGAAATGACAGCACAGGGGGAGAAAAACAAATCCTCCCACTGCAATTCCAAGCAGAGACCAGAATCACTCTGCTGCTATACTGGGTAGGGATTTCTGGCAGAAAAGAGCACAATTCTCCCATTTTTGTATGGTAAACCAGGCAATGACAAACAGATTCACATGTCTCAGACAACATCTTGAATCCTCCCTTTTTATTTCCCATATTTTACCACTTCAAGGTCTGCTGAGTAACAGGCATCCAGTCAACTGAAGACAGCCTCACACGAGTTTGCTGAGCAGTGTGCTGCTGTTGCCTCGTACTCTTCTGCCAAATTATATTGAAAACCAAGACAGACAGCAGATAACTTCATAATGGCTTCAGTTACCTTGAGCCTGGCTCATGGAACAGGCACATGCCTGGAGTTGGGCTTAGGATAGGCTCCAACACGCAGTGACCTTGTAAGACAGCTACATCCCAGTAGCTCATGAAAATGCAACCAGCACCTGCTGCCACACAGCAAAATCCCAATATAGCGTTTAATAAATCAGAAACCTACCCGATCCTGTCAGCCCCAAACTAGCCCTGCTCGATGGCTGCCATTTTAACTCTATAGACGCCGGGAAAACGTGGAAGGGCTCTGTCCTTTTTCCCCACCGAACACGGGGGATGCAGGAGGAGGAGACGGGCACCCGCGGGAGGGAGGGACGAACAGCCTCGAGGGGCGGAAACTACAGAGGCGGCCCTCAGCATCGCCGGCTCCTCAGTGCGGTAGGCGGGCTGGGCGCTGAGGCGCGAGGGAGCGCGCGCTCACCTCGTGAGGCCCGGCAGCCGTAGCGGGTCCACCTCCTCCTGGCAGCTGCCTCGAGCGCAGGTGAGCAACGAAGAGATGGGACAGGCAGACACACCGAGATGCTCAGCGTGTGTGCCTGCGTGGTGGAGGATGCAGCATTTACATAGAAAGACCTGAATGCTAAGACCTGTATATGAGAAGGCCACGAGAGTACTGCTTTGTTCAGTAGCATCCGGGTTGTTACTATGTGCTATTGGCCACAATAATCTTTCCAATGCATATAGATAAAACCAACCACTGTGCTGTTGTAAGGCTCAGAGACAGTGGCAGAGGGAGAATGCAAAGCTCCACAGGCTTTGGCTATGCTCCAGAGAAACCATTGCCACACTGGCTTAAAGCATGACTGGTCCCACAAAGCACTGCGTCTCCGGGTAGGAGCCAGCATCCCTTAGCACAGGGAGCAGAGAGATGAGGTGTTTCTGCTCGTCAGCTACTGCAGTACGTAACCCACATTGAGACAAAGAACGGATGTTGGTGGAGCAAAGACACTAACCTAGGCAAGGGAAGGACCCAAGCACAGATGCTGTTCTGAGAACAGGGAACTTAGCGGGTGGACAGCAGGAGCAATCTCAGCTTCTGTGGCTTTGCCGAGTTGGATCCTTGCCCGACTTAACTTGGATGGATCAGAGCTCATCTGTCAAAGCCTCCAGTTTAGTAAAATACACCAAGCCTTACAATGAACACAGCCTATCTGAAGCCTCTTCTGAAACGCTCCATGAAAGGACAGCTTAGGTGAGATTCTGAACACTGGCACAGAAATCCCATTTGTTCTGTATAAGCTTAAAACAGTAGCTATCTTTCCTTTCTCTACTCTGGAGTAACTTACTTCACCGTAGCTGTTTTCTGTGAGGTAACAGAAGCTCCACTTTAATGTTCATGAACTTTCAGAGAATTCTGAACATGTGGTAACTCAAAAAAAAAAAAAAAAAAAAAAAAATTGAAATCATTGGCTTATCTCAGACCATGATGGTGTTCCATGAGTCCCCGAGAATTATTTGAGAGAAGAGACACCTGTGCTGCTGTGCTCCGTGTTTACTTGTACAGCACAGGTAGCCAAAGTAAAGATAATGTGGGAGTTGTGCCTAATAGCACGCCTCAAAACTGTGGAGGAGTTGAAAGCATAATGGTGTAACAATCAAAAAGATTAATACAATAGAATAGCAATACAGAAGGTGTAATAACAAAGGAACTAGCACAAATGGAAAGGCATTACAAAGGGAAAGGAAAAGTACTCACCCATTTCTGAAGATTTAGGTTTACAGGGAAAACTCCACAAAGGAAGACTCCCCCAACTAAAGATCCTTCCCAGTGCCAGTCAGCCCTTAAATGAGGTCTGGGAGAGGCACAACCAGGTTCCACCCCTTCCAATCACACAGCTGCATTGCCTTCACCTGTGCTCCCAGGGCTGACCCGGTCCTTTCCCCAGGTGCTCCATCAGTGGTTCAGGCCAGGACTCAGCAGTTTCCATACAGTATTAAAGAGGTAAGTTACACTGTAATATTCTTAAGGAGTTACTTCGGGAGAAACAGCAAACTCACTACTGTATTAGCAATGCCGACTGGATTTTGTTGTATTCATCTAGTTGACTAACTTAGAAAGGACAGTAACCACTTCTCAGAGTTACTTGAACAATCAGTGAAATTATGCCTGGTATTATCTGTTATCCACAGAGCAGATCTGGTTGAAGACTCGTGTAATGTCTGGACCAAGAGCAAAATAAACCTTTTGTATAGTATAATGCAGTTTTAAAAACCAATATGACTTCTGGTGTCTGTAGAATTACAGAATACAAAATCTTCAAATTTAGGGTAGGTTTTAATACCAAAATATAGTATTCTTTTTTCCAGGATTAAATACAGTGTTACAGACAGCTGTGTCCCACGCATGCCCACGCATAATATACTGACTGAAGCAAGACTTGGTGTCTTTTAAAAAGAAATTGTTGAAGTATCACATGAAAATAGCAGTACCCTCACAGGTTTCTTAAGTGAGGCAGGCAAATAACTAGATAAGTGACTGGCAGTCTTACATTTTTTCTCCTTTAGTAGTCTCAAAACAGCACCACAACAGTATGTTCAGACTCATGCTTCATGCAAACCACAGTCCAGTGGTATGTGTCTACTTCACCGTCACCATAGCATTGCTGCTTACAGCCTCTGATCCAAAGTTTGCATGGGGAGACGCGTCAGCTTAGATATTCAAAAACTCTTGGATAGTCTTCTCTCTTTCAAAATCACTAGTAAAACAATGAACAGCCTCTGAGAGAATAACATGCTTAGATAGAAGAACAGATGAGGTGCCAGCAGATGGCACTCAAGAATGTGAGCAAGCACTCCTGAGCAAGCAGAGAAAATGGTTGTGTGGTGCACTGTCCAGTATTTGCATGCAGGCTGTATGTGCCCTGTATGTTCCTAGACTGGACTCACGAAGAGTAATTAGTAGTGCTTTCAGTGTTTCACATCTTTAATCAGGAATATAAATCCTGTCTTCAGTTTAGGAAATCTTCACACGTGGGACCAAAGTACTCTATGAAGTAGCTCCTTTCTGGATTTGGATTAAAACCAGGTTTTGCTGCATCATGGATAAGCTGAGCCATTGCTTCTAATTTTTTTGCCAAGTTCTAGAAATTTTATTGCCTCTTCCTTAGGTTCTGGCAGTCAGCTTGAGGAAATGAAACTTGGATGGTTTATGTGTTAAGAGCTCTTTCTAAAGAACAGCTTTGGTCTCTAGACTGCTACTCTTTACTGAGATCACTGCAGAAGGTTATTTCTACTGGTCTTATGAAATAAGTTAATGTCCTCCTATAATTTAATTTTAATTAACAAAACTAAGATTCTGTCTGCTAGAATTTTACTGTTGGAGTCTAGGAAATGTTTGGAAAGAAACATCAGGCTCCATCTGTTTATAGCTGTCTGTCACTGACCTTAAATCACCTCAGATCTATCAGCTAACCTTCCAACTTGCAAGAGGTCATGACTTCAGTCGATGTGGAAGATAAAGTTGCATCTTAGAAGGGTGACTTCAACTAAGGAAGGGAGTCTTGTTACTCTAATTAATGAAGTTTGCCCTCAATTTGCTGACAAGACTTTTTGTCTATGATTTATACCTGGACCCTAGGGAATTTGAAGGGCTTTTTCCTTCTTTTTACACTGTGACTGCGTTGAATATACCCAGCATTCTTACACTCTGGAGTTTTCAAAGTGCCTGAGTCATACTTTTGCTTGTGTTTCTTTGGTCTAATATGGGCAGGTAAAAAAGAAGGCTGCCAATGCCAAAAGCTTTTTCCAGCACTCTCCCTGTAAGGCTTAGAGACTGAATATTAAACTCTGGGCTAAAGTCCAGCATGCTGAATCCACAGAGGTTTCGTAAGTTAAATAAAAGAACTAAAAAATATTTCTGCAGTTTCAAGTCTATCCACAGCACCATGGGACTGAGTGTGGCATGGATCTGAAGCTCTTGAAAGAGTCGAATGCAATTTCCCCTATGAACATAGCTGTACAGTGGTTAAAAACTTAGCACTTAAATTGTATCTGCTGAAAGGTTGGTATGCAAGTTAACATGACAGTATTTTTCTTTTGGTCTGAAATATGGTTTACATTGGTAATACCATTTCAAAATATTTTTGTGGTTTATATTCTGGTGGTTTTCATTTATTTGTTTATTTATTTTTGTTGTTGTTTAATAGCCCATGAAAATAGAGCTTAATTAGAATGCTGACATTTTGTACCGAACTGTTTTTCTCTGAGAAAAGCAAAGAAATGAGCCACACATGCACACACAGGCAGCATTTCTGGCTTCCAGCCCACTCTGAGATTAGCCTGCAGAAAAATTTATTGCCTATTTCCAGAGAGGTCATCTGCCATTCACAAATGTCTTAATTATTTGAGTTAAATTACAACAACTCCAGTTGCCATACATCTGTGGATAGATTTTCCTCCAAACTGTGTAGTCACCCTGATTGAGGGAAGAGTTGGTTAAAAAGTGGGACTGAACTAAGTAAAAGAAAAAAAAAAAAAACTTACTTGAAAATTACACATCTGTGTTTACACCTAAACTATTATGTGAGAGAGTGGCCTGGAAACTTGCACAGAAATTCAACTCTGAATCCATCTGTTTGTTTATGTTCTGATTTCGAGCAAGTCCTGCTTTACTGAGTTTTCTTATCCCCATCAGTTTTGGCTGGTAGTCCTAGTTAAGCCAAAGAGATTAACTAGGATTCTTCTCTAAATACTGGTTAGTATAGTTGATCTGATTGCATTATGAATTATGGTCCTTGCTGTGGGGCTTGAAGGCACCTTGTGGTGAGACTGAAAGTTAAAATAGTTTTCATCCTGATGACATGATCTGTTTGGGACACAGCAGATCCCTGTGGAGCCTGTAGGGCCATTGGAAGCCTGGCAAGAATTTTGATTCCATGTTGTAGAGAGACATTGTGAGGGAACTGAGGAGGGACTTTTTATAAGGGCATTTAGTGACAGGAGGAGGGGAAATGGTTTTAAACTGGAAGAGGGCAGATTTAGACTAGATATCAGGAAGAAATTCTTTACTGTTAGAGCGGTGGGACACTGGAACAGGTTGCCCAGCGAGGCTGTGTATACTCCCCCCCTGGAAGCATTCAAGGCCAGGCTGGATAGGGTTGTGAGCAAGCTGGTCTAGAGGGAGGCGTTCCTGCTTATAGCAGGGGGATTGGAATGAAGTGATCTTAAAGGTCATTCCACGATTCTATGAAACATATATTTATACTGTGGCTATATAAATAAAGCTTTAGGGGACTCAAGTGGAGAACATAGCTATATAAAAACTCAGAATCATT